TTAAGTATTATTGTCATGACAGGAGTCCAGAATGAAGGCTGCGCAGTGGAGTGAACTTGGTGGGGGCAGGATTGTATATTTATATATAAATATTTTTATATGCACGAGGGTAACAAACAACAACAACAACAAAAACCCAAGTAGAAAAAGACTTGCTTTAGTGTATGTAACACTGCTTTCCTGCAGTCATCAGAGAGCTCAATCTGCATTATCTCTGAGGTGTGCCTGCACCTGGTTTGCAGTTGTATAAACGGAGTCCTGAGGGGTGACTTGCCCACTGGCACAGTCAGAACAGCAGCTCAGGCTGCTGCCTCGTTAGTAGCTGCCCTGAGCCCCGGAAACACGTGTTCTCCCCTTTGTATCTCTCAGAGGCTGGTGGAGGCTGCTGAGGAGGCTGACCTGTACCATGAATTCAACAAGTCTCTGGTGGTGAGTCCTACTGTGTGCAGAGCTCGTGCTGGGAGGGTTTAATGACTAAGCTCTCACACATACCCCCCCAGTAGGGCCAAGTGTGGGATCCAGAGGGATATGGGGTACATGGAGGCTCAGCACTAGCTTTAAATGTGAGCAGGATTTATGTGAACCTGTAATGACTGTTTTTCAAAAAACTCTCAAGTGTCTGGAGAAGGGATTTATGTACCAGGTTGGAGAGGAAACTACCAAAAACTGGGACAGAAGGCGTAGAGTGACCATCCGATGGTCATGCGACAAACACTTGTCATAATGTCCACACCCAAAGCAATGTGCTAGCTTCTGTGAAGATAAAAAGATGGATGAGTGAGGCATATTTTTGTCTTCAAATCACCCACAGAGCAAATAATTCTAGTCTAAAAAGCAAATAGCAAATACATAAATAGAGTAGGATAAAGAAGTAGAATAGGGCGAAAGAGGCACAGAAATCTTTGCAGGAAGGACTGCCTCGAGCCTGGGCCTCCAACCATGGGAAATTTGGGCAGGTGTAGATGTGAAGACGGGGTATTTGGTGGCTCAGTGGTAGAATTATACCATTCCATGCAGGAAACTCGGCCCAAGTCCCAGCCAAGAGGACTCAAGTGGAACCAAGACCTGTTCATGGGGACTTGGGTGTTGCTCTGTGTTGCTAAACATATTTAAAGGAGGAAAAAAATGTCTAGCAATCCACTCCCGAAAATTAAGTCCATGTAAACCCTACGGATTACAATGGTCTGCCCCTCAATCATGGGGATAACACACATTCTGCGTCTGAAATGTCTTTGTGTCCTCACCCTTTTTACACTCTATCTGGCTCACTTCCCCCTCGCTCTAGTTTGATTATTACAACTCAGTTCTGATCAACGAGAAGGATGAGAACGGCAACTTCGTGGAGCTGGGAGCCGAGTTCCTCCTGGAATCCAACGCACACTTCAGCAACCTGCTGGTGAACACCTCAATCAGCAACGTGCAGCTGCCCACCAATGTGTACAACAAAGGTAGTGCCCGCCATTCCCCCTCCTCTGGCCAGCACTCTCTTCTCAGCTGCAAAGGGTGACAGTAGTAGTGGGTTTCAATTTTTGTCTTCTTGTAGTAGGAACAGATACATATAGCAAAGCATCTGCCAGTTCAACAATGTTTACATGTACAATTCTGTATTGATGGTTTTTTATGATCCACCCCCATTTTTCTGAGAAGTTTTTCAGAGGCACCCAATGTCCTAGATTGGAATAAGAAAAGAAAGAATTCTATACAAGCCTGGGCTGAGAGAAATCTGGACTGGAGGGGTTAGAATGACACTTTTTAAATGAGATGTAGCAAGAACTTGTACTTCAGGAAGTAACAGTACGTGCACATGTTAGATGTTAGGTTTCCATGATGAGTCATCTATGCTTTCACCCGTCAGACCCTGATATTTTAAATGGAGTCTACATGTCTGAAGCCTTGAACCCTGTTTTTGTGGACAACTTCCAGAGAGACCCAACATTAACCTGGCAATATTTTGGCAGCTCGACTGGATTCTTCAGAATCTATCCAGGTAAGGGTATTAGCATTCTCAGGATTTTCTGGGTTTCTTTGATTTATAGACAACAGAGCACTGAAGGTGGTTCTTGGTACACAGATCCCCAGTCAATGACATGACCTCCTGCTAAAAAGTGCCTCCTACCTACCTCCTCAGTAAACAGCTGGCAAAAGAATGAATGAAACCATCAAAACCATGGGAATCAGACAATTAATGCCCACATAGTGTTTCTGTTGTTTAGAAAGCACCATGGAAAACTGTTGTGCAAAGGAGGTTAAAGCAATTCTTTAGCTTGAGAAAAGTATATCCTAATTGAAGAAGGAAGCTACGTGCACTTGACAGTGTTCAACACAATACAGGATATAGCACAGACCATGTGGCTAGGGAGCTCTGGAGGCTACTGGTGAGGACATGCGCTTGAACCAGGAGCACCTTAGTCTTCAAACTGATATCTTTGCGCTTTAACACTTTGGAGAGGTCACTGACAGTAGACTTTTCCAAAGGAATACATTTTTGTTTGTTCCCTGACTGTTGATATCAAGGATGTTGACTGAGTCCAATCAAGATGAGGCCATTAACAATTTCTCTTTCCCATCTATCACAACGTTGCCTATTTATCCAGTGATGAAAAGTTTTGTTTTCTTGATGTTAAGATGTAACCCATACTGAAAGCTATAGTCTTTGAACTTCTGTACCAAATGTTTTAAATCCTCCTCACTATCAGCAAGCAAGGTTGTGTCATCTGCTTAAAGGAGGTTGTTGACGAGTCTTTCTTCAATTCTGATGCCACATTCCCCTTAATATAGTCCTGCTTCTCAAAAGATTTGTTCAGCATACAGATTGAATATCTTTTCTGATTTTAAACCATGTAGTCAGTATTCCCATGACCTGTTCATAGAACAGCTTCTTGGTCTAGGTAAGTTTGTATGAAAACAATTAAGTGTTCTGGAATTCCCATTCTTCTCAATGCCAGTCATAATTTGTTATGATTAACACAGTCAAATGCCTTTGCATAGTCACTAAGACACAAACAGACATTCTTCTGATATTCTCTATTTTCAGGCAAGATCCATCTGACATCAACAATGATATATATCCCAGGTGTCCATGGCTTCTAAAACCACACTAAATTTCTGGCAGTTCTCTGTCAATGTGCTGTTTTAGTAATTTTCAAAGATCTTCAGTAAGATCTTATTTGCACATGGTATTAATGATATTGTTCAGTAATTTCCATTCTGTGGGATCACCTTTTTTGGGAATGGGAACAAATAGGGATCTCATCTAGTTGGTTGGCCTGGTAGCTATCTCCCAAATTTCCTGGCATACCTTAGTGAGCATGTTGACTTCTCTCTTATCTCTCCTTTATTCTTTCTTCTTCAAAATCCATTAAGTCCTGAGCAGTCAATTCCCCTTCTTCATGATCCTGTTCCACATCAGCACCATTAAGTTCTGAATACAGTGCTCTGGCCTGATCTAATACTTAGAGCGTGCTCCCATAACTCAGCATTTATTTCTCTATCCCCTGCATGCCTTTTCCTGCACATTCCTCCCTGGGAAGCTACAATGTTTCATCCTTTTATATAGCAGTGTTTTGAATGGTAAATCATAAACTTGAACTTTTAAGAGTAAATATCTAAGAAAGATAGCATCAGCAAATTATATCCTGTGACACTGTATGCAATATATGTTACATGATTAGTTGTTATGTTATGTTATGTTAGATTATATGTTAATGATAAGTTGCACTGCCCAAAAATATCACCAGGATCATTGTTAACTTAAATACTACCTGTGGACAACCTGTATTTGTTGTTGTTGTTTAATGCCGTCGAGTCGTAGATGACTCATAGCGACCCTATGAATGAACCTGTATTTAGCACAACAAAATATTGACATTAAGTAACATTTTTTTTTACTCTCCTTCTACTTCTCCCCTCCCCTTAAAGTTCTTAGAACTTTTTCATGTTTTCTCTCATCCTGAATTTGTTCCCTTCTATTGATCAGTAATTTTATATATTCACTATGAAATGTACTCCACTAGATGGTACATGATTAAAACAACAACAATATCATTAATAGTTTTCATCCCCACAAGTGAAACACTACTGACGTTTGATATTGATATCACCTGTTTGGATCTAATACTTGTCTATCATTTTATTCACTATTTCTTTGTGCATGACAGGCTGTCTTTCTAAGATCACATTCCTTCTTCTTAAAGTAATTCCTCCAGATATTGTATTACATCAAGTCTTTTGGCTATAAACGGTTGCAATTTGTTGTTTACTTATAAATGTTTTATTTTATCCCAATTTTTAAATGACAGTTTTGCTGGGAGTGTAATTCTAAAGGAACAGTTCTTTTCTCTCAACACATTGAAATATATCCCCACTGTCTTCTGCTTCTTTGATGTTGAGTAAATCTGCTGTCACTTGAATTGTGGTTTCTTTGTAGGTGTTGTGGCTTTTTTTTCTAGCTGCTTTCAAGGCCCTTTTGCTTTTGACATTCAGCCGTTTTACCCTGTGATGCATCTACATATGAGTATTATTTTATTAATTCTGCTTGGGGTATTACTATACTTTGTGGAGTTACGGATTTGTGGTTTTATCAATCTAATTTGTAGACATTATTTAACTATCATGCTTTCCCTTCCCTGTCTCCTATCAGGCATTCATACTGAACCTTTCCAGTCTAGTGTCTATAGTTATCTAAACAAATTCCTCAAATGTATTTTCTCTTTGCATATGAATCCTCAGGGTTTTCCTGACATAAATTTTTTTCATTTCTTACTGTTCTTTTTTTGGAAAGCTGTCTCTTGATTTTCTTCTGTATGTTTCTATTCTTTTCAAACATAGCTACACTACTGTATATTTTGTATTTGACAGAACATCTAAGATCTTCAAAAGACTAAATCTGATCATTCTTTACTCTGTTGCCTTTTGCTCCCAGGAGCTTGCCCATTCTTATTTTTAGTGATGACTTGTCTGTAAGAATTCTGTAGTAATTCTTTTGAAAACATCCTCTTAAGACGATTTTCTTATATTTCCACCAGGGATGCACGATACTCCTATGCCAGGACCATCACTCTTTTCTAAGATTTTGAGCTCATTGTTGCACTACACATCAAATCCCCCACCACCGTGTTGTATCGGAAAGCATCTACAGGATAACCACAGCTTTTACTGCCTACAGTTCTAGATTCAACCCTGACTACTCATATTCCAACCACATGAAGTCAACACATCATTCTCATTGTACTTCCCACCTCTTGATACCCTCTCCCTTCTATATCAAGATCTTGGCTCCTTGCTGCCTCAGTCCCTTCCCCTCAATCCCTTGAGACTCTATTAACATTATTTTGGGTGCACAGACTCTGAAAACCTTCCCTATTCTTGAGTCATTAGCAAACACTCAAAGAACTCCCTTATCTTGATTCTAACGGCTATGGAATAGCAAATCCATTTCCTAGTCATTCATGATACTGGTTTATTGCCACATATTACACTTCAACCTATTCTTTTAAACCCACTATAATAATGGGTGACTGGAATGCAAAAGTTGGAAATAGTGAAGAAGAATCAGTAGTCGGAAAACATGGGCTTGGTGACAGGAATGAGGCTGGAGTTAGAATGATTGAATTTTGTAAAATCAATGACTTATTCATTGCAAATACATTTTATAAGAGACACAAACGCAGGTTATACACATGGACTTCACCTG